CGCTAGTTTCGAATCGCCGCAATCGATAGAATTGACAAGAAGTGAAGAAGAACGCTTGTCTAGATTACCACTTCCTTAACCCTTCTATGTAAACACAATCATTTATTATTTTTAACTATTTAAAATACCACAGCTGAAAATACTTTATTTTATTTTCGTTGCATGCAACACAGTTAATTTGATATTTCAAACCGCTGGCTGCAATCAGCTAAGCCCCGGCTAAATTAAGCGCACTATTATTTACTATATGGACGTAATTCTGCTAAGTTTTCAACCTTGAATGATTTTTTGAATTTTCAACTTTTTTGTTATCATTGAGATTTTCTACTTTGGTGGCAGTTCGGCAATATGGCTGACCAGTTGCCGTTTTCGGCTGCGCGTGCCGCACCAGACTGTAGTGTAAACAATTACCATAATTTTAATAATTTTCAGGGAATTTCTAGCGGATCTTACTGGACGTAACAAAATTGCAAACGCAAAACATAATATTCTTGCTTATAGAATAGGGTCCGACAAATTTAAAATTATTGAGGGCTTCGATAGTGACGGCGAGAAGCGCGGCGCAGAACCAGTGATGCACCTGCTAAGGGTATTGGATCTAACCAACGTAGCAGTGGTTGTAACTAGATGGTAAATATTTCTTTCATTCATCGGTTCCTTTTAATTTTTTAACGCGTTAAATAAATTCTGTTTAATTTATTAACGCACACTTTAAAGGAAAATGCTTTTTTTGTAACCCTTATTTGTCTTCTAGGTATGGAGGCATTTTTTTACGCTCAGACCGATATAAATGCATCAGGACCGCTGCGCAGCACGCTCTCATCGCAGGCGGATTCATTAAGGAATGAGGGAAAGATTTGGATTCGATTAATTAATACCTAGTTAACTATAGTAAGAATGTACTTATATTATAATGTACTGATATTATAATATATATCAGCAAACTAATTTTATAATGTATACATATTATAATACATATTCTCTTAAAATGGCATTTTGTTTGGAATTCAATTAGTTTTATATTTAATGTTTTCCTGCCAAATTAATAGAGAGTTATTGGTCGGCCAATACGTTCATGCAGTATTATAGTGTGCGCTATTTTGACACAAACGCCTGCGCAAATCAGTCCGAAAAATAAGTACTGCAAAATTAAAATACTGTTCTGTAGTATTTGTGCCCCGATACTGCACGTTTTATTTTCAACGTTAAACTGTCAGTTGACATTTCTGACGTCCGCTCGCAGGTTATTTCATTATAAACATATCAAAATTAATTCCATTTCATTTCATGTCATTATTTATCAATTAAAATACGTTTCGGTGTATTTTTCCACCATCATCAGTTTTTCTAAAATAACATTAAGTTAAGTTAAAAAAATAAAAACATAAATCACAATTGCAACACTTTAAAACATTCTAAAATTAATTAGGCCTAACAGGTGATTAGTCAGGACAATCAAATTTGGGAAGAGACTAGAATTCTT